TTAAAGATCATCAAAGTTAAGTACATTGTCATTACACCATTGAATCTCACAAGGTTTTCTTTCACTACTAATCTTTTCATTACTAAGAGAACTCTCCAAGGCTCTCTCTAAAGACTCTGCAAGATTCATCTCCCACAAACCTAACCTACACATTGTTCTGTATGTCTCATAACCTGTTGCCCTCAACTCGTCTGATACTAACTCCTTTAACCCTCCACTAATTTCCTCGCCATTCATTACGTTTAGAAGATCTTTCGACAACCCAGGTTGCCAGAAAACAACGACGGCACAACTCTTATCAATGAATCTTACATCAAATTCCTCTGAAAAGATGTCTTTGGATTCACGAAGAGCATTCTTCAGCATGCCGGCTGTCATACCAAATTTAAATCCCCATACGAAAACCAAATGTTCACAATTGATTTTTCTTGTGTTATTGGTCCACACAGTAACATCTCCATTACATGATGATTCTTGGATATTGGCTGAGCATGGATGGAAAGTGAAGTCTTCGAGCTCCGGAGCCAATCGCCTATTGTTGGACGCAGCAACAATAGGGGAAATTTTCAATATAGAACAAAGCTTCATGAATAAATAGGATAACCTTAATGCATCAAGTCCATCAATCTTGCCTTTATTTACTGTATCTGTAAACAAAACAAAAAAATAACAAAAAGGAAGATTAAGCTGCTAGTCAAAGTAACTATATATAATAATGTTTTTGTTACGATTATTAGGGCCAGTTTGAATTTACTTATTTAAATTTGTCTACACACATAAACATAAACGCTTGTATGTCTGTTTGAGTATGAAGCACGGATGCCGAAACACTGATACATCGACACCGGTAATAATTTAATAAATAAATAAAAAAATTAAACATAACCACAAGTATTGGTGCTATAGAGTTGTTTGAGAGAGCTGACACAAACACTAACACACCTTTTTTCAGAAGTGTCGGAGCTAGAGTTGTTTGAGAGCTTATGGAAACAACTTCATATATTCATAAGAAATGTTTAGCTTATTTCTATAACCTCTCCAGGATAGCCTATGAAAATAGCTGAAGAAATAGCTTATTTCCAAAAGCTCTCTTGTTTTGACTTTATTTAATCTTTTGTTATAGAAATAGATTATACATAAGTACTTATATGATAAGCGTTTAATCAATAAGCTTTTATTTATATTGTTTATCCAAACAAACTTGAGAACAAAACTTATAAATGGCTGATTCTGAAGCTTTCTTCAAATTTTGCAAGATGACATGGACAAAACAATCTAATAAGCAAACTTCTTTATTTTGCATAGGACATCAAGAGGTAAAGTGGCTGACCTTGGTCAGGAATTTCCATATCAATTGGTGCAAAGAAATGAGTATTCAAGTAGGATAAAGAATTACGAATGTTGGTCAACTTTTTCATGGTTCCACTTTTCTTCATCAAATAACTGACGTCGAGTACTTTTGGGAAAAACTTGCACAAGGAGCTCACAAAATCATCTACTTCTGATGGAAGTGGTGCGATGAATTTTGAATGAATAAGTGTACAATCTACAAAAATCAATGAGGGGTTAAATATCGGAAGTGAGTAAGCCAGGTCAGTATACTAGAACTAAACTGAGAAATTTCCATTTAAGAGAAACACCATTAAGGCAATTGTGGGAGATAACAGGTTTCTGTGAAGCGGAAATCAAGTCGATCACCTCTCGAAATCCACGAAATTTCTTGATTTCCTCATCTTCAAGACTTTGAAGCTCTTTCTGCAGTGCAGACCTAGAATTATATCCAAAGTGAAACTTAACGAGGAACGGAAAAAGAGCGAAAGACTCTTAGTACCTCCAACAATGCCTTATCTTCTCTTGAATTTGCCAAAACAATGCGTACTGCCTGAGTGGTCCCACTCTTTGAAGGGATCACCAAAGAAACGAAGTCATCGGAGAAGTCTGCTATCATCTGCATACAGACAAACCAGAATACAAAAAAGAGAAGGAAAAGGTTATTTGAGTTTATCTACTAGCATGAGTTCCTGTGAGGCTGTTTAGGATAGCTATGTAATGGCTTATAACATGTCTATAAGTTGTTTCCAGCTTATTTTCATAAGCTTTCAAGATAGTTTATGTAAACAGTTTATAATCTATGTGAAAATATTTTGACTATTTTATCTTTTGTTACAAAAGTAGCTTATATATAAGCATTTATATTATAAGCACTTATGCTATAAGTGTTTATTTAAGTTGTTTATCCAAACAAACCCAAGACTGTATCAATCAAATTAAAGAAATTGTGGCTTTATTTAAGTCTATTATACCTGTAGAATTAGCTGTACTTGGCGTTCACTGCAAACATCTATATTCAAGCACGGTCTTGATTTGAATTGTTCACTACCTAGAACAATATCCCTAAGACAGTCGATAATTTCTTCTGCACAAAATGAGTGTTGAAGAACAAAGGAGAACCAGAGAAAAATCTAACTTCCTCTATAACAAAATATAAGCAAAAAGAACATGTATCTGACTTAAATTTGGACCAGAGACATATACTTTTTGTTTACATTTTGTTGCATAACTCCTATCATATAAAACTCGGCAGAAGATTCTCTTACCGTGTTTGCCTGTCTTTGTGCCAGAGTTTTTACATGTATTTCTCCAGTGTTTAATCCGTGATCTAATCCTCTCGATAAAAACTGTATCGGCAACAGTAGGGGGTGAAGAAGATTTCATCACACCAAGAGAGGGAGAACCAGTCCCTAAACGAATTTTAGCAATTGACTCTTGTGCTCGGGACAAATATGATATACCTGTTGCACAAATTGAAATGGATCATAGCTCTTAGGATATAAATAACAGAACCAAATATTCTTGTTAAGAAATGTGGTTGGGCCTAACTCAACCCTACAAAACTGGTTGGTAGAGTGAGGATTGCCCCCACTTATTAGCACATGTTCATGCCATATATTGTCCGATGTGGGACTCTTAACACACACCCTCACGCTCAGAACTGGACAACTGAAGCGTGGAAATAGATGGTGGGTGGCCCGATAGCGGAAACCATAGAAGGTGGCCCACCGGATCTTAAACAAGGCTCTTGATACCATGTTAAAATACAAGAGATTAAGAGACATGAATAAACCGTGTGTTTTGAAAAGCACTACGGAGACATTATTATATATAAATAGATTACAACTAATTACATAATATAGTCGATGTGGGACTATTCTATATACAAATATTATTAATAAGAGACAATTCTTTCTTCGCCGTATTTTACCCGTTTGACCTACTGTCTTCCGGTGAGAAAAATTTTTTTTTGGCAAACCGTGTTGTCACTCCGGTTTGCCTCTCACGCCCGTTTTTCTGCTGATCTACTTTCCGACTCACGGAAAACGGCCTCTGTTTTACTTTCCGACTCACGGAAAACGGTGCTCCAGTGCAAACAACCCCGATTTCACTTTGTTTTTTTTGTGTCATTAAGCTATGGGAGACGCTGATTCTGTCTCGTTTACTAAAGTTCCTCTTATCCCATGTGAAAAACTGACCGGATCAGCAAACTATAACATATGGGCGCGTGCTGTCGATATGTGGTTTCGTGGTCAGGGATATGAAGATCACCTAACCACACAATTGACTAATGTTGCCTCCGACAAACTTGCTAAATGGAAGAAAACAGATGCCTCTCTCCTTACCGTGTTATGGTTCTCCATAGCACCTAACCTCCAAGCACAGTATCAAGCCTTCTCCACTTGCTATGAAGTTTGGGAAAAGGCCAAGAAAGTCTTCTCCAACGACGTTCGTTGTCTATACAGTGTCATCCTCAAACTCGACACACTAAAGATGGAAAATATGGATATGCAAACCTATCTGAGTAAGCTTGATGCTTTGAAAGCAAGTTACGCAACCCTCATGCCGTACGCAAAAGACGCAACAGCTCATGCCGAACAACAGAGTAAATTTTTCATGGTGATGGCACTTAAAGGACTACCATCCGAACTCGACTCCGTACGTAACCAGATTTTATCAGGTACTACTATTCCTAACTATGATGCAGTTAGTGAACAACTGTTGCGCTTGGCTACACCTCATGCGTTTGGTCCGGTTTCCCCTCCATCTACTGTTGCTACACCAGGTGACACTGCTGCCCTCGCATCTCTGGGTAACAATCAGAGTCGCCCTCGAGGAGGGTCATCCAACTCCAAACCTCGTCCCAAGTGTAACCATTGTAACCGGCTTGGACATACTATCTGTTAAGAAATGTGGTTGGGCCTAACTCAAACCTACAAAACCGGTTGGTAGAGTGAGGATTGCTCCCACTTATAAACACATGTTCATGCCATATATTGTTCGATGTGGGACTCTTAACACACCCCCTCACGCTCAGGACTGGACAACTGAAGCGTGGAAATAAATGGTGGGTGGCCCGATAGCGGAAACCATAGAAGGTGGCCCACCGGATCTTAAACGAGGCTCTGATACCATGTTAAGAAATGTGGTTGGGCCTAACTCAACCCTACAAAACCGGTTGGTAGAGTGAGGATTGCTCCCACTTATAAACACATGTTCATGCCATATATTGTCCGATGTGGGACTCTTAACACTATCGACCGTTGTTGGAAGCTACATGGCAAACCCCCACGCCAGGTAAATGCAGCTCAAAGTGATAACTCAGAAACTATGCAGACTTCACCTTCTATTCAGAACCCTACGCCAAGCTACGAAGATTTTCTCAGATGGTGTCAGACTAATCAGATCTCTGGTTCCACTGCTTCGGTTGCACACACTGGTAATTCATCTGTTTGCTTCTCTCAATCATCTCCTCTTGGTCCTTGGGTCCTTGACTCTGGTGCGTCTGATCATGTTACTGGTAATAAAAGTTTTCTTTCTTCCCTCTCTACCTCTGGTTTCTTGCCTATTATAACTGCCGCAAATGGTTCTCAAACCCGATCCCAAGGGATTGGAACTGTTCAAATTTTACTGTCTCTCTCTGTTACTTCTGTCCTTTATGTACCTAATTGCCCATTTAATTTACTGTCAGTCAGTCGTTTAACTCGTTCCCTTAATTGTTCTATCACCTTTACTAATAGTAATGTTACTCTGCAGGATCGGAGTTCGGGACAGACGATTGGCGTCGGATGTGAGTCTCAAGGCCTCTACTACTTCTCTACGTCGTCTACCACATGCTCCACCACAGATTCTCCACTCATTATACATGCGCAGTTAGGTCATCCAGGTCTTCCCAAGCTACAAAAGTTGGTGCCCAGTTTATCTAAATTATCCACTTTATATTGTGAGTCTTGTCAGTTAGGGAAACATACTCGTAGTCACTTTTCCGATCGAGTCAATAAACGGGCTGCGTCCCCTTTTGCTTTAGTTCACTCCGATGTTTGGGGTCCCTCACGTACCGTGTCTACTTTTGATTCTAGGTATTTTGTAACCTTTATTGATGATTTTTCACGTTGCACATGGTTATTTTTAATGAAGAACAGGTCTGAATTGTTTTCTATTTTTGAACAATTTTATCGAGAAATAAGAACCCAATTTGGTTTATCTATTCGTACCCTAAGAAGTGACAATGCACGTGAATATTTATCCCAACAATTTCAAACATTTATGTCATCCAATGGTATTTTGCACCAAACATCTTGCCCTCATACACCCCAACAAAACTGGGTAGCCGAACGCAAAAATCGGCACCTCGTAGAAACCACTCGGACACTACTTCTCCATGGTAATGTTCCTCTCCGGTTTTGGGGAGATGCGGTGCTCACAGCATGTTACCTCATAAATCGCATGCCCTCATCTGTCATTAATAATAAAATCCCTCATTCAATCCTGTTTCCAAACTCTCCACTCCACCCAATTCCTCCTCGAGTCTTCGGGTCAACGTGTCTTGTACACAATCTCTCCCCTGGTCTTGATAAACTATCAGCTCGATCACTAAAGTGTGTCTTTCTTGGCTATCATCGATCCCAAAAAGGTTATCGTTGCTACTCACATACTCTACAACGATACCTCGTATCCGCCGATGTTACCTTCTTCGAGTCTGTTCCATATTTCGAATCCAGCCAAGTAACTACAGAACCTCTACGGGAAAGTATTCTCACACCTCTTCCGGAAGTCCCATCTGTCATTATCCCCCATCATTCTAGGGAACCTGACCCACTAGTTACCCCTACGGTTGACCCCCCCACTCCTCGCCCACTTCAAACATATCAGCGTCGTCACCCAAAGTCTGTCGTACCTGTCCCTAAAGTTGTACCTGTCCCTGAAGTTGTACCTGTCCCTGAAGTCACTACGGACTCTCCTCCGACGCTCTCGCCATCACCGGATTCGATCCTGCAACCTGAGTCTGATCTTCCGATTGCCCTTCGAAAAGGTATACGTCAAACACGAAATCCTTCTCCACATTATATTGATTTATCTTATCATCGTCTTTCCCCTTTGCAGTATACTTGTTTGTCTTCTTTGTCTTCTGTTTCTATTCCTAAAACTCCAGGTAAAGCATTATCTCACCCTAAGTGGAGGCAAGCAATGATTGATGAAATGTGTGCTCTTCAAAGCAGTGGTACCTGGGAACTGGTTCCTCTACCCCATGGAAAATCTTTAGTAGGTTGTCGTTGGCTTTATACAGTGAAGGTTGGTCCAGATGGCAAGATTGATCGATTTAAAGCTCACTTGGTAGCCAAAGGATACACTCAAATTTTTGGGTTGTATTATAGTGATACCTTTTCGCCTGTAGCCAAGATGGCATCTGTTAGACTTCTTCTAGTCATTGCAGCCATTCGACATTGGTCTCTTCATCAACTTGACATCAAAAATGCGTTCTTACATGGCGATCTTGAAGAGGAAGTATATATGGAGCAACCACCTGGGTTTGTTGCTCAGGGGGAGTCATTGAATATGGTTTGTAGGCTACACAGGTCTCTTTATGGTCTTAAGCAATCTCCGAGAGCTTGGTTTGGCAGATTCAGCACTGTAGTACAACAGTTTGGTATGATCCGTAGTGAAGCTGACCATTCTGTTTTTTATCGTCACTCACCCCAAGGGTGTATTTATCTTATTGTATATGTAGATGACATTGTCATAACTGGTAGTGATCAGCAGGGAATACTCCAGTTGAAACAACATCTCTCGAAACAATTTCAGACAAAAGATCTTGGTAAACTCTGTTATTTCTTGGGTATTGAAGTAGCCCAATCTAAAGATGGTTTGGTGATTTCTCAGCGGAAATATGCTATGGATATTTTGGAAGAAACAGGTTTGTTAAATGCTAAACCAGCCGATACTCCTATGGATCCAAGTGTTAAACTACTACCCAATCAGGGGGAGCCTCTATCTGACTCAGGAAGGTATAGGAGATTGGTTGGAAAGTTGAATTATCTCACAGTCACTCGTCCGGACATTTCTTTTGCAGTCAGTGTGGTAAGCCAGTTCTTAAATTCCCCTTGTCAGGAACATATGGATGCTGTTATTCGGATTTTGAGATACATCAAATGTGCTCCAGGAAAAGGTCTTGTGTATGAGGATAAAAGACATACCCAGATAATTGGATACTCTGATGCTGATTGGGCAGGGTCACCCATTGATAGACGATCCACCTCTGGGTATTGTGTACTTGTTGGAGGAAACCTTATATCCTGGAAAAGTAAGAAACAAAATGTAGTTGCAAGATCAAGCGCCGAGGCAGAGTATAGGGTGATGGCAATGGCAACATGTGAACTTATTTGGTTAAAACAGTTGCTCAAGGAACTTCAAATTGAAGAAGCAAGACCAATGACACTTATTTGTGATAATCAAGTTGCATTGCACATTGCTTCAAATCCAGTCTTTCATGAGAGGACCAAACATATTGAGATAGACTGTCACTTTGTCAGAGAGAAGATCGAGTCAGGCGACATCGTCACAAGCTTTGTCAACTCTAATGATCAATTGGCAGATGTGTTTACAAAATCCCTACGAAGTCCCAGAACTAACTATATATGTAACAAGCTTGGTGCATTTGACTTATATGCTCAAGCTTGAGGGGGAGTGTTGATATTTGTAAATATATATAAAGTGTTAAGAATATTTGTATATAGAATAGTCCCACATCGACTATATTATGTAATTAGTTGTAATCTATTTATATATAATAATGTCTCCGTAGTGCTTTTCAAAACACACGGTTTATTCATGTCTCTTAGTCTCTTGTATTTTAACAATTCTCAATTCACATAAGATAGCATACTTTTTCTGCATATAATAGAGTTCTAAAACATTTTAATATCTATTCAGGTGTCCAACAAATTGCAGAATCCTTAATTAGAATTTTATGGCAGAAAAAGGATAAGAAATCCCTACTTGCCATCTTTGCAAAATAGCATTTTTTTTTCATTTTAACTTTCAAAAATATTGCCAAGTTTACTTATTCACATTGCCATAAACCTAAACCTTAGGAGAAAAATATCACATTGTTATTAAATCACAAGAGGAGTTTGCGTAAACAGCTTGTTGAGCATGGCTCATTGACAGCACGGCACGGTTCAAGAGTATTGTTGTACTCTGGACCGCAGTATTTATATAGGACTTGTAATACTGTAAACCCTAATTTCATTCACAATCAATAATACGAAACTACAAGTCCTCTATAGTTGAAAATGCAGGCACACTTGGCCGAACATCGTAACTAAACATCACAAGTTCCATTGTTTTGCGCTTTGTGCTTTCTTATCTCTTCTGTTATTAATTTCTGTTCTAAGTTCTAACACAATTTAATTAAACTTATATAAGTTGTTTCTACAATGGAAGAATGAATGAGGGAAAACACGGCATAAGCTCTATATGGGTAGTTTCTATAAAATCCTAGATAACCTATGAAAATAAGCTGACAACAACCGAAGAACATATCACAAGCTCTTTCAAACAACGGAAGAACATATCACAAGCTCTTCCAAACACTTATTCAGATATTTATCTCATAAGATAAGTCCAAATAAACTCTCCCAAACACCCTACATTTACTAAACAGCGACAATATAATACCAAGAGAAATTTCCCAAAATATTTAACAGTTCCAATTTGGAGTAACAAAGCATTGCATTCTTAGAATAACAAAACTCAATCCATATTACACCTACAAAGGAAAACAACAAACCCATATCCAAATTCATAGTAATAGTTACTAAAAAAATTTAAAATCACGCCATTAGAAACACAAAAAATAATGAAAACACAGGGTAAAACAAAACCTCACCTTCATATATGCAAGTATTGAAATCAAAACCTTGACGAGCCATCGACGCCAGATGAGACGTCTGGCACAAAAAAGTGTAAGCAGGCATACCCAGCTTCAACTCATCTCTTGGAAACAAAAGAAAATTATACCTACACAATAAATACAACTTTGAAAAAACAAACAAAAAATCTGGCAACAATAAACTAATCACTAAAGACTGCAAAAACTGCATTTCAATTCTTTAAAACAGAAAATAATCCTTGCCTCATCAAGGTTTTGATTTCTAACGTGCAAAAACTGCACTTTGGTCACAAACTAATGGGCCTGGTAGCCTAAGTTGTTAAATAGCAGCTACAGCAGTGTTAACTAATGCTATCAATGTAGTCAAGCACGATGAAAGATTGTAAAACTCGGATTGTTAGCACGGCACATAAGATACTGAAGGGAAAATGATAATTTCATATATACAAAAACATGAAAATTTTAATTCAGGGCTTCAGGCCAAAAAAAAGGCCCATCACGTTTTTTTTACGATATTGCTTCAACAAGCTTGATCTTGACCATACCGACCATGAAAACGATCTTTCTCTGACTGTAGCACTCTTAGGCATCTTTAGCGTGTAAGCAAGCTTTTAAAAAATGGTCTGCGGCTGTAAAAACTGTCGCGACAAAACGGTATCAGCAGGTGCCGATACCGATAGCCTAATTCACTGTTTTTATATTAAAGAACGAATTGTGATTAATTCACGCCATGATGACGGCAATCAATGTTGTGACACATGTACGACCAAAATCGCAAAAGCCTTTACGCAATCGCAACGCTACTGCTGTTAAAAACCTTTCACGTAAGATCTTACGATCCACAACTCAATCTTTACTTCACTGACTATAGTGTGGCAGATTTTCAACAAACCGCTATTATTCTACCATATGCTATTTAGTACAAAATTGCCGTCAAGTAGCATATCACTATTGCATAGGGATTATTAATCTTAACAATCTTCTATTTTCTGCCATTCCTAATTGACAACATTGCTGCTAGCTATAGAGTATTTCACCAGTATAAGTGATTATTAAAAATTAAGTGAACTTTATAATTTTTACATTCTCAAGAATAATGCTCCATAGTTTTAAATTGCTACACCGACTTCAATATAAAGCCGTTATTATTGTTGAATTTAGAACAAAACGAACTTACGGGTGAGCAACGAGGTTATTCGAATCCGTAACAGAAAACGGGCACACAGCAAACTGGAGTAACTGAAACCGCTGAGCGGACTGACTAGCCTTAAGGTAAGCTGTTTCCGCCGTATCAAAAGGCTGAACGCGGTGCCACGGAGTCGTCGACGAGGAACCGGTTTTTTCCATCGATACGGCGATAAAGTCGGAAGAAGATATGTGAGTTTTAATTTCTTTCAGAGATTCGTTGAAGTTGGAAGTTGTGACCTGCTTCACCTTCCATTTTGTTGTTGAGAGTTTGGTGCAGTGTGAACGCTTTTGATTCAGGAGTAGTAGCTGAATGAGTGAAACCATTGAAACGGCGCGTTTACTGTTTCGCTTCTGGGTTTTTTCTTTCATAAACCTTCATAGCTCGGTTTTCTCTAAATTATATACATTTATTTAGAGAAAACTTTATATCATCTCACTATCAAATTGATTTTCTTTTAAATAAAATAAATATAAATTAAGAAAAGGGTGATGCATAACATGAATTTTTTTTATAATGTCAATTAAAAACGACTATGTATTCCATCAAATCAAATTGAAAATTTTAAAATAATTATAGAATAGGATAGAATAATATATTCTTATTGGATGATAGTGTACAACTTTTTTCCATTGTCTGTGCATCACCATTAAACTCATAAATTAAACATGTTGCCGTGTAAAGCAATTAAAGAATATGTGTTTGATAGATATTTGAAAATCCAAATTCTCACGCTCTCTTCTCTTTCATTGGCCAAAACCTTTTTACCATTATTTCTCTCCTAAAATTCAAATCTTCGACTTTAGCATATAGTTAAGTTGTTTGGCGATGCGCAGGCCCGACCTTGGGACCGGGTAAGGAGGCCCATAGCCCAGGTCCCCTAAAAAATAGGGGTTTCAAAGTTATTTTTTATAAGATATAAATCTGAAATAAATATATAAACATTAGTTGTTAATTTAATTTGTAATGTAACCTAGTTAATATAGTGGTAATAAAGTTTGTTTTTTATTTAAAGGTCAATGATTCAACCTTTAATTGTTATATTTTTACTATTTAATATATTATTTTACAAAAAAAAATTATCTTCTTTTTTACTGTGGCCCATTTTTAAAATTGGACCAGGGCCTTCAAATTCTCGGGGCCGCCCTGGCAGTGTGATGAAGTCCTTTCTCCGCGCAACTGTGTTTTCTAGGAGTTGTTCGACAATGGCTTTTAGGCAATCGTCGTCGTGTGGTTTCTCCTCGTGGTAACTCTCTGTTCAGCACCATTGGCAAGTGGTTATTTCGCTCTTCTCTCACAAAGTTAGCTTGCTCACGTTGCTGGATTCGGGTAGCATGAGCATGGGTACTAGATTTCTAAAGGTTGTAAAAACTTGCTCGCATGAAAAGTTGTTGTTCGCTTTTCTGGATTTGAATCATTCATCGATTCTGGTTCTGCTTTTGGGGTTGGTGGTGGTGTGTCTTGCTTATAATTTTTGGTTTGTTTCAGGTTTGGTGAGATCTATAGTTATCAAAGTGTTTGGGTTGACGTTACCACAATAACGATTTTGTTTTGTTTCACAACCTTGTCGTTGTCGTTCCTGAAGGTGGGAAAAACACTTAGAAGGGGGGGTTGAATAAGGGTTTTAAAACAATTTAGATGATAGAAAATAACACAGTATTTTTATCCTGGTTCGTTTGAACTCAAACTAATCCAGTACACCCTACTAAGGTGATTTGCCTTTCTCAACAAGGACTTAATCCACTAAATCAAACTGATTACAGTGTTAAACCAATAAGACAATTGTCTTAGTCTTCTCAAGAATTATGACCACACTTGGTCTCTTAAGGAATCTTTTACAAAGATAAACTAACAATGTGTTTAAGATGTGCTTCTAAAAAGCTATATCACAACAGTGATTTTTACACAAGTTTTAGAACGAAAATAAAACTATTCAGCTTTTGAAGAACGTTTGTAAGAGTTGAATAATATGTCAAGAATTTGTTTGAAGTTCGTTAACCTTTGAAGTTGTTGTACCCCAAAATTTGCCCAACCTTTTTCTTTACTTGGTTTATGTTTCATTTCATTGTTCTAGCATATTGCATTGCATAGCATTTTGCATTTTTACAGGGGATCAAGAGATGTGTGTGCAACAAGAGGGATGTGCCAAGGGTTCTAAACCTAATCAAGAGGTTGTATTCAAGTCAACAAGGAGGTTATCATTATCAGAGACAAATCAAAACCCTTTGGATAAGCAGATAAGTGTGTGTGGTTCACCTCTTGTCTTAGAGGCCATTTGAAGGTCATTTGAGGATCCCAAGCCCATGGTCATGGAGGGAGATTGTCATTTAAGCTCATTAGAGGCCTTGGAGGTCATGGTGAAGTTCATTCAAGTGTTTATACCAAGTGCTAATGGCCACAGTTGAAGTTGGTGCAATTAGGGTTTTCATCTGGTCAACCCTAAGTCAACTATGAAATTAAAGGAGATTAAGACTCAATTCCAAGTCTTTATGGTCAAGGAATGTTGTGATAATATACATGGGATATCATTTCAAGAGCAATTAATCAAGAAGCAAGAGTGTGAGGAGTGACTGAATTAGGGTTCTCAGTGTAAAATCTCATGTTCAGTGCCTAACTTCAAGACCGCCTATCTCAAGATACAAGTCTCATCTCAAATTTTGACCAACACGAAACTTGTAGAGCATGTTCTTAGCTTTCTTTTGAGTATTAGAAGTCCTTGATTGGATTTATAGAACTCAAGTTATGATGCAGACAAGTTACAGGTCCTCAGATGAATGTGATTTTGGTCAACAAAAGTCAACCAACTTCCAAGCCATTTTTGACCAAGAAGGATGTTTCTCCTCAACTTTTGATAAACATGAAAGTTATTTCAAATACAATTTCATCCTTGGATTAGAGGTTTAAGTGCATCTTGGTGGCCATTTCCAAGTTTTCTTCAAGAATAAGCAACACATCAAAAGCATACCATAAGATGAAATCAAGGGATCATTTTCAGCCCTTTGATCAGCCTACTACTTATGCAAGTCAGCCATGCCATTTTTACAGCTTGGCAAGTACAAATTCGTGTACTTTGCAAGTGGACATAAAGTTAAATTTTGAAATCCAATTGGGCTTAAGGAGCTTTCCATTGGGCTTTCTCTTGATCTGAATCCAACATATATTATCTCAGGATCATTTTCATGCCCTCAGAGCTGACTTTGGTGAGATTTTGAGTGAGAGAGCATTGAGAAAAAGTGGTGAAAAAGTCAAAACTCGTTTTTGCATTTCAGTGAGTTTCAATCCAAACCAAAGATTTTAAAAGCTTCCTTGAGTGTCACAAAACGTTTCTAGATAGTTTCTTTCAAGCTTTGCTTAAGAACTGAGCCTTGTGGAAGCGTACATTTAGGTTTCTTACTTTTCAAAATATCTCACTGTTTATGCATCTTTAATACACCATTTTTATGTCTTTGTAATCTTTGAACATCATAGATCATTTTTGGGTTGTTTTTGTGGTTGTTCGTGAACTTTTCTCATTTTGAGTTTTTTCCATTTCTTTTCGTTTGGGTTGTTTAAAGCATTTTTATGGAAAAATAATGATGTATTCTTGATCCTCTTGACGAGTAAATCACTTTTGGCTTTTATTTCATTGATTTTGATAAAGTTTTGAGGGACCTGCGTTTTGCACAGTGGCCGGACCAAAGGAAGAAGATGACCGGAGGTGGCTCCGGCCACCGTCTGGTTCTTCCCTCCTTTTCTCCCTTTTAGAAGGTTGAGGATGATGAGGTGTCTCCTTGGCGTGCGTAGGATCCGTATACTTTTTGTTTTGATGGCCAGGATTAAGACACACGGTGCACATGTTTTGACCAGCACACCAAATCCATTTTAAAGTTCATTAAATGACTTGGCATAATGAGGTCTGTTAGATTGGCATACCATTTGATCATATGGTTCTTAGTGATTTCCACCATACGCCTCCGTTGACCACGCTGCACACAAGTCACACGTTTTTCTTCTTTGTTTTTTTTCTGATGGATTGGGCCTACTAATGGCACCCCCTTGCTGAGCCCATGCGCGCTTTGAACTGTATTGGACTGCTATTGGCACCACGTTTTTTTTCTTTTTCATTATATTTTCTTTTGTTTTTTATTTTATTATCTGTTTTGAATTTAATTCATATAAAATAGTTCCAACAATCATAAAATTCCCCAAAAATATGTTTTGGACACCTTGAGATGTCTTTTAATTTTAGGAGATTTTTATTTTGTTTTTTGATTTATTTTTAAATTAAAAATGGAATTTATCATTTGGAGTGTTTTACTTGACTTAAATTTTAACATGTTTTGTTCTTGGATTTGTTTCTTTCATTTCCTTTTGATCCAATGAGTAAGATTCAATCCTCATATCAATGATGAGCTGATGAATTTTTTAGGACCATTTTGCCCCTGTTGGTTGACTTTTGAGTTGACTTTTGATGCCTTTCATTTGACCCTAAACAATCCTCCTTCACAATGGAGCACCCTTGTGAATCAATTTCTATGGTGATGTTGTAAAGTGACTTTGATTGAGATATTTTGGCCTCTGATTTCCAACACATTTATGATCTTCTTGCATTTTATTTGATAATTTTTGAATCATTTTCCTATTTTTGGGGTAGCTTGCAAGTCAAGCTATCCACAGGAAGGTTCATACAAACACATTGACCTAGTTTGCTTTGGATATGACATTTTTGGATCCTTTGAACCTTCAATGCCTTTTGATTCATGTTGATAACATGTTGAGGATGATGCTTGTTCATTTTTAGGTCATTATATTGTGTTTAGCTTGTTCTTTTGGTTGCTTACTTTTGAGCTTTCAATTAGGGTTTCTTTGTGAAACATGTGTGCTTTCCTTTGGGAATTGACTTGCATTTCTTTGTGCTTTGTTTTGCTTTGGCTTTTGATAGCTTTTAGTTTATGTCCCTTGCTTTCCAATGACTTAGGAGTGTCATTTAAGGTGGCTTGGTCCCTCCTTTGGAGGTACTTGAAGCATACCTAAAATGATGGAATCCTTGAGGACATTTCTTGGTGATTTCTTTGTGCTTCTTTGTACTTTGCTTGTGATGCTCATGGTTGAGTGTCTATTATGAGTTCCTTGCTGTCCTCATTTGATCTCCCATCCTCACTTTGTTTTAGGTTTTGTTTACCTTTCATTTGTGTTTGGTTTTGTGCCTTATGGTTGATGTTGCTTGGTTTAGGCCATTTCATCCCATTTTAGTGCACTTGTGTGTTTCCTTTGGTGCATTTTCTTGTCATTTATTCTTTTGAATATTTCATATTTTTGTTTGAGATTGAGATGATCTTGTGGGAGG